ACCATTAATGAACTTGCTGTAGAGAAATCATCTATTTGCTGGGTACTATAGAATAATGTGCCATAATTACATACATGTATACATCATTCTTTAATACAGAAACAATCATTAGTTTGGAAAACAGAGAATTTAGATTAGAATGTGTTAGAAATACCTTTTGTGATGATTTTTTTAAATTCATTTTGTTTGTTTTGTTTTTTAATTTTTTTGCTAGCACGGTGCCTGCCAATGTCATGTATCCACTTTCTTTGATGAATTCCTGTTGACAAATTCTGAACAATTGTATTAAACACAACAGCATTTTCAGGATTATATATTCTCATTATATACATGTACCGATACATATGTTTGTTATATTCTGCTCGAAGAACACAATGCATATTTAGTTTGTTCTTACATGAAGTTTATACAGTTTGTTATGAAAGCATCTGTCATACATGACCTTTAAATTCCCTTCATGGGTCACTGAATATGGGTTTTGACTGAAGATTCAGATCCTGTTTTTGTTAATTTCTCTTCTTTGACCATGGATCTGAAATTGTCTGTGATGGTCAGACAGGTTTGATTGCCAGTGGCCAGATAACTAGGTTGGTAATGCACCTGACCAGTGATTCAGGAGGCCCTGGTTCAAATCCTGATCTGGTCCGTCACACCTGACCGATGATTCAGGAGGTCCTGCTTCAAATCCTGATCTGGTCCGTCACACCTGACCGATGATTCAGGTCCTGGTTCAAATCCTGATCTGACACGTCACACCTGACTAGTGATTCAGGAGGCCCTGTCACATTTTTCCTCCTCATCGGTTACAGCTTATTTAACTAAGGTCTGATGACATACTATTCAAACATCTTTTGGGGGGGGGGGGGTCTTTGCATTAATTTACCCGAAATATTTATTATTACTTTTTTGATTTCTAAACATTCCAGAATGTCTCAAAAATATATGTATGAAAAATATTGATATCAATCGTTGTGATTTATAGTAAGATTTTAAAGGAGAAATCCTCCTCTGGAGTCGTGCACAAGTTGCTGGTTACGTTTTTCTCCATTTCTAGAGGAAACTTGTAAAAGCAATATTTTATTCACAAAGTCTTGAGAAAAATATATAATTGAGGAACCTGTTGTCAAACCTTAAATCAATTACACTAGTACATGTACTTTAAATTTATGAAGTAAATATATTCAACATCCCCAAAATTTTATGAAGTAATCTACCAAGAATACTGTAGGCATTAAAATGAATTTGTTGCATGTCCTTCGTATAGTTTTGTTCATGGAAAGATGATATTTGTGCTAAATTATGTTTAAACATTTTTTTCTGCTAACTTTGGTTATCTTTGTTTCAAAACCCTTCCTTTGGCTCATATGCATGATTGTATGCCTCTTGAATGAATTTGTATGCAAGGGTGCAAGAGCCTGATAAAGGTACAGATTTTGGTGTGGTTTGTTATATGATATTGGCATGTCCCTTGTTGATTATAATTTAATACTTAATGTTAGAGTTGATCATTAATTAATTATTAATAATAAAGTTATAATTTCAATTATCATTTTTCTTCATTCATATATTCTACAAAACAAAGAAAAACTGGAGACCAACACCTTGAGGTTGAAATTGGGGAAGATTATATTCTCACGTGTGGATACTGAATGGTATATTCATATACTCTGTTAATACTAAATTTTATGGTAGTGTACTTAAAATAAATGTACATATCATTGAATTTCCTTCACACACTGCATATCTGTGTGTGATGTTTATTGGAACTCTAAAGAGATACCAAAATGTCGAAGGAATTGGCATTATCAAATGTGTACTGAACAAAAGTCTCATGCAGCACAGTGATCGTTCACAAGGTACGTATCATGCTTCTCTAGTGGAGAGGGTAAAAAATTATAAACAGTCAAACCTCGATATCTCAAACTCAATGGGACCAAGAAAAAACTTCAAGATATCCAACAGTTCGAGATATCCAGGGTAAAATACTTAAAAAATAAGTGTTTGGGACTTCCAAATCACTTCGACATATCCATGGTATTCAAGATATCAGGGTTCAAGTGTACATGCACATGCATGTATATGGTACTTGTATAATCAGTTCTTAGAACATAATTTTCTCATATACATGTACATACAACAAGTTATTTAGGTGACTTTCAGTCATGTATTTATTCAAAACTGCTTTGAAAAGCAAAGTGAACAAGAAGCAATAAGTTTTTGTCCATCACTGTAGCAGTACATAAAGTTAAAAAAAAAAAGAACTAAATTTCTAATTGTGATTCTTGTAAATACAAGCAAATACATGTCAGTTCACAAGTTCTACCTATTTTGTGCCTGGCTAAGGAACTTCTAAACAAATACATTGTAGTAAATATGAAAAAAACAACAGCATGAGATTCAAATTTGGACCAAATGAAAGCAAATACATGTCAGTTCACAAGTTCTACCTATTTTGTGCCTGGCTAAGGAACTTCTAAACATATACATTGTAGTAAATATGAAAAAAACAACAGCATGAGATTCAAATTTGGACCAAATGAAAGCAAATACATGTCAGTTCACAAGTTCTACCTATTTTGTGCCTGGCTAAGGAACTTTTAAACATATATATTGTAGTAAATATGAAAAAAACAACAGCATGAGATTCAAATTTGGACCAAATGAAAGCAAATACATCAGATTTATTAGAACAACACATACATGTACATACCTGTATATGACAATGAATTATTGGGGAGGACCATTGAAAAAAAAAGTCTTAGTGACACAATCAACAATATTTTTAAACAAAAAATCTTGAATCTAAGTTCTAACAGTGTTGCAAATAAATATGTACACATACAAAGAAACAAATTGTAAGAGTACATAAAATTTTAAATTTTTCTTTTTAATAGCAATACAATAAAACTCAGCAGTTTTTGCATTTTAAATTACTACATGTATATACATATTACATTTACTGGCATGTACATGGCAAACCTAAAATATAGTACAATTTTGCTTTAAATAATTTATTCTGTAACTCCAGGATGTGTACTTGTAACTGACTAGTTTTGAACACACACCAAGGAATAAATGCACAGGTTATTATGCTTGTTACAAGGCTAAGGCATGGCAATTTTTTTCTCCTTACTACAGCGCCCCTAAAAATGTGTTTGTAACCTTTTATTTTTGGTGTTCAGCAAACTATGATACCAGGTTTTCCCAGCAACTCTGGTAAGACTGCTGCAAGACTGTGAATGGATCAGGTAAATTATGCACAGAAGTATATAGCTGAGCTATACAGACTGGCACAGTGAGACATGTTAATGAACAAAAAAAGTTAACATTATGTTTCAATCTCACCACTTTACAATATCACTGGATTTAATACACCCAAATCTCTCTCAACTGTAAAATCACATATTTTCAGGGGTCAAATTTTCAAGATTTAAAAGATTCGATTTCATGATTGTAAAAGTGTTGAGTAGTTACATATGAAATTTTACATTTTGTGGTGGACATTCATACCTCAAAAACAACTAAAATTAAACCCCCATGAAAATTACTGATTTCACAGTATTCAAACTTCTTCAGTCAGTATTCATATTTACTACATTTTTTTGTTCAATTGTAGTGTATATAATTCTCTTTTCTGACACACATGCATGCATAGTTTTAAGTCCTATTTGTAATAGATTATACATATTTTTTCATAGGGATCTAACAAATAGAGCATACTCTAAAAAGCCATGAATTCACCAATAAATAATGCATTGTAGAAAAGCAGTGATCGGTATGTCAACACTATTTAAAATTAGTTTACAGAATATACTGTTCATTCATCTGCTACAGGTACATATAAGTTGTTCTGTGGTACCATGGAATGTGGTTGATAAACAATTATTGACATTTGTATATACATGTATAAAAAAAATACAACAAGCTTTGAAGCAATATGAAATACACTAAATTATGAATGACATAAAATCTGCAGTGAACACAAGAGGGATCATTATCTATAAATTATGATAAATACTAATATATACAATAATATTACTTTATGTGATGTGGGACATGTATATTTTACTATGGGACTATTTATAAATGAGGATAATAGGGAATGGCTGCTGGCTTTGAGTTTATTATGTCATTGAGTTACCTAGTACTGCAATTGATACCATCCATCTTTGTCCATGAAGTATTTTACACAAATTGTCCCACTCCTTAAATTCTTCTTAAGAAGACCTCTGGGCCAATTACAACATCTCATCATGCAGAATAGATCAAGTTCAAAACATGAGGTCCAAAAGCAGAATCTATGGTGTATGTCTGTTGTGGGTGGGGATGTTTTATATTGTAATATAGCAGAATTTTTTTTTTTAAATGTCTTCTACATAAGAATAATGATACAAATTGTCATGAAACTGTTCTCATGTAGTGCAGATTTAAATTGTTCAAAACATTCCCATTTGGACCAAGTAGGGATATGCTAGGGGTTTCATACAAAATGTTCTCAGAAAAACTTGATTGTGACACTGAGGTGATTGATGAGACCCAATGGTATTTTGTATTTTCCTTACAATATTAATAGGGGTACAGGGCTTTTAATAATTTTGAAGTGAACAAGAGAATTTATCCATTGGATGAGGCTGTTTTAAAATTATTTCCAATAGTTTATTTTGACAATCATGAAATTTGAAGCAGTGAATTTGTTCTGGTCAATGAAATGGTAAAAATTTGTCTCCTGCCTTCCCTTATTGAAAGCCCTGGAGGTATGATACTGACTAGCTATGACTTAGGTTTTCGTTTTCTTCAAGAACCAAGATTCAACATGAGGTCCTCCAAAGAGTAAAAACTGGTTGTAATTCAAGCCAAGGTCCTTTCAAGAGTGGGATTTATATGGTGGTGAACTCTTCAGAATAAGACCAGACATGTCAATTTAAATAAAAGTGCTTGTGCAGATAATAGCTGGCTATGATTTACATTGAGGTTCACATAAGGATAATAGCTTGCTGGGATTTACATTGAGGTTCTCTTAAGGATAACAGCTGTCTCTGATTTATTTTGAGATTCTCTTGAGGTTAATAGCTGGAAGGTTTTTCTGGAGGATAGCAGCTCGCATTAATTCATGTAAAAGTTCTTTAGGATAAACTGTCTGAATTGTACACCAAGGTCCTTATGAAGATAATAGAAAATTAAACTGAAGTTCATTACAGGATAAGAGGTTCCTGCAATTTATGTAGAGGTGTTCTTGATAATATTGGCTGGTTGAGACATCTCTGCTGTTAACTCTGGTGGAAAGCTGTTGATTGTGTTGACTATGCCACTAGTTAAATTGAGAAACCTACAAAAAAGCAAAAAGTTATTGATCCAAGTTCTTTTGATAAACTTTTTTCATAGTCAAACTTAAAACTGTAAATTTACACTAATTCTTGCATAAATAAGTAAAGAGTTGATATCCCCCATTTTTTAATACCCCCTGCAAACAAAGTTTGGGGGGGCATATAGGAATCACCTTGTCCATCTGTCCTTCTAGCTGTTGCCAGTCTATCCATGCAATTATCTGGGTTATAACTTTGTAATGGAGTATCATTGGAAGCTCATACTTGGTACAAAGATTGTTTATGAGGGTTGTCATGACTGTGACCCAAGGTCATTCTTGCAAGTTCAAGGTCACTGGCAGAAAAGTATAAAATTCTTGTCCAGTCTGCAACTTGCTTATGGAGAAACATTGGAAGTTCATACTTCATACAAAGATTGGTCATGACCTGAAGGTGTGTCATGACCTTTACCCAAGGTCATTTGATTACGGTAAGTTGAAAGTCACTTATAAAAAAAAGTAGTTTATTCCTGTCCTGACCAAATCTTCTAATGGACAATATTAAATTACTTATCATAAATATTGCATATGATCTGAGGATACTGTATATACTCGCCTAAGTTGGTCAGCCTATAAGTTGTTTTCTGTAGGTAACTTTGAAGAGATTTGTAATTGACCCTCTTAAAAGTGCAACTTTTTGACAGAATTGGTTGACTATTTAAGATCAATGCTTTACTGTTTTCATTTGTGTCTAAAAAAATTTACAGGAAATGACCCCAATATTTAATCCTTTATTCTTAAAAATCAATTCCATATCAATGTTGTAATGCAATTAACTAATGTGGGACACAACATTGGTATTTATTTTTTATTCTCAACAAATCAAACAGCTACCATTTTGTTTATTTTGTCCATCTTTTTCTTGAAGAGTTATATCCCTTGTGATCTCTTTTCCTTACATTTCGCCATTTTCATACATGGGATAAGTCAAAGACCCCAAAACTGTACAGGAGCCATAAAAAAACTGCCTATCAAAAAACGGTACAGAAAACGGTACAAAATATTGCTTTAATTCTTCTGATAAGGCACCTTATTTCTAAACCAACAAATATATATTGTTGCAAATGTCTTATTTTAAAAGTTGAAATGGAGATTTGAATGCTTTAAAATTTCATATATTGTGTTTTATAATCACAATGTTTCTATGAATCTACTATAAATTAAGCTAGTTTAGATGATAGTTTGTTTGCCAGCTTTATATAGTATTAACTTGAGAGTCAATGTCTCAAATTTACATCTTGTTCATATTACTGATATATACATCAGCAATGCTAAATAACAGCAGCAAATACAATCATACATAAATTTCAGCTCATAAAAACTTATAACTATATCCTTTATTTCAGCATAATCATGGCAATAAACATCGTACATTTTATACCTACGAAGATCTGGGTCAGATTCATGTATATTAAGTCATGTATATCAACTTTAGAAGTTGGCTTAATTTTTTTCAATCAAGTTACGAAACATTAACAGTTATAATTAAGTACCCCTTTAAAAATAAAGCTACCTAAAGGGGTATCTTGATACGGATTTATAGCAAGATAATTATCCCAATTGGCAGTTCACACCTTCACATGCGATGGTTTGTGTACACTACACAATTATCAGAAGATCAAGTGTCAAACACAGGTGACGTTTTCTAGTGTCTCGCGAGCAAGAATGAGAGGAAAATGGCGGCATTTAGCGAGAAATTCAAAATACTGTACAAATTTTCATATTCCGTGAATTTTGGTGTCCCTCCAGTACACGATGAATGAGCTCGAAAAACGGTACATTTTGCGTACCGCCAGTACATATCACATGTATGCATTTTGGACCAAAATCTAACTCCCAAAAATCTGACTTATTGGTGAGTATATCCGATATGTAAACACACACACTCTTTCCACCCCCACCCATTTTATGACCTGGCCACTTTTAACAAATCTCCAATACTTGATACTGACCATTCTCTTTGTTCAGGATACAGCTGTTTTCCTCCTGTTTCTCGGTCTTCACTCAGTGTGGTTTTAATGGACTTAAAGTTTTCCTCTATATTCTTTTTGTATGGATCTAATAGGGAATGTCCTACATTGTTCAATGATTGCTGAAAGAAAACACATCTACATGTATCTAAAGACGTAAAAAAAAACAAAAAACAATCTAGATCAAATAGCCTTTGTAAAATTAATATTTTTTTTAGCTCAGTTAAATTTTGATACTTTTATGTGACTTATACCTGCACATAAGCCCTCTTTATGGCTTAGATACTTACATAGAGTATTGCCATTTGATGAGCTATGTATTTATGGTCAGATAAATTAGATAAATCAGAGTTGATCTGGCGAGACAGAGCAGACAGATTCTGGAGTGCAGAAAGGTCAGACAAATATTTGTCCACTCCTTCAGTTCGCTGATTGAGGTTAAAATGACCTGGATTTTCTAAGTATGCAGCTGCTCGTGGGAAAAGGAGATCAAATCTCTTGGTCACAATATATTGCTGCAATTAAAATTTTCATATCATTAATAATCTTTTTGAGCAATTTTTCAGAGGACTTCCTTTTCATATAAACTTCAGTTACTTGTATGGTCTTTATTACATTTCTATGGTAACAGCACCTTTAAATCAACTAATCTCAAGAAAACAATTTAACTATAAACAATGTTTAACTATGAAAATAAGAAAAATAAGAAGTGAATTTTTGTGATCATAATTATCAAACAATATCCATAAAATGCAATTAACATAATAATTAAATCCTTACAATTAATAGTTTTGTAAAATTTCGTCCTTACCCTTAAACTTGTATTTGGTTGACTTGTTCTCAGCATCAGATGCTGCATTCTATCACATACCACAGAGGCTGAAATAAAGAGATATCTTAATTCTGCTTTCTAAAGAAATAACAGGCTACTAATGTAATTAGTACTGAATGGAATGAAAATGACAAACAACTATATTAAATACATTGTATATATCATATAATGTTGCTGTATTTTTCCTACTACTATGAAATTTTGTATAACTTGCATGCTAATTTTCAGATTTAGTTAATCATTGGAGTTAATGTTTAATCAATTTCACAATTTTTATTAATTCATGGATTCCACATACTGATACATACCTTTATTTGTAAAATCACTGCTTACACGACCATGTTCTATTTTTTCTTGTTTGTGCTAAAAATGTAATACATGTACCATTTAAAAGCATCCTTGAATAACTATTTGACAAATTGCAATGATCATGATGATGAAAAGAAATCAACCTTTTCATCAAATTCAAAAACTTTAATTAAATAATTCATAATTTGATTTTACCTTCTCTAACTCTCATGGCCATCTACATGCATCTCCTTCTTTAAGACATTAGGATATGAACAGGACAGGAGATAACAATTATTACCTGTGATAGTTCTTTCTGGCAAATGATGTCTAACTGTGAGCACAACGACACCAATTCTACATCAACGTCCAAGTTTTGAGTAGAACTCCCTAGCAGTGGTTCGTGAAGATGCACATCAACTGAAACAACAATTATGTGTACACTTTCTGCTTTCAATTTTAAAACAAAAGCAGTAAACATAAAGTATATGACAGCTTTATATTAAAAACTACATTCACATGATAAATTGTATTTTTCCAGTATTGTAAATTTGTAATAATATAGTTGTCAATCAATGACTAACCTTACATTGATTAATACTATCAGATGACAGGATAAAATCTCTTTACACTGTAAATTAAAATATGTCCTGTGTTGATCGAAAAAATAACCCATACAGTTAGTTAATTCTCATTCATGTTAAAGGTGTATATTTAAGGAATGTTTTTAAGTTTTGTGTGAGTTATTGGCATGTAAATCATACAGACTTGTCACGTAGGCATATTTCAAGAAGCGCTAGCGCGCTTCATGAAAAATATGCCTACGTGCAAGTCTGTGTGATTTACACACCAATAATTCACACTAAACTTAAAAACATTCTTCAATATATTTACATTTTACATGTTCCAAAGCACCAAAAATGTACTCAATGTTTGAATTTCTCACTGCCCTATATCATCATATTTTTATTAACGTCTCTGTAGTTCATTGTGACATCAGTTTAGCGCGAGTTTCTCTGTGCATATTTCTACGCGTGAGTATACACGAAAATAACATTCAAATCAATTTCACAGTTGGCTTAGTAGAAAAACATAGCAAATGTAAATATTACTATATATTTTGTGATGATTTAGTTTAGCAACCTGGAAACAACATAAGAGTCATGGAAGGATCACAGCACAGGGACTTGAGACAATCTTAACAAAATCGGGTATATAGTATAATAGGGGAGAAGGGATCTAACGAGCCGCCATTAATTCCTCGGTGCCTCGCTTCAAACTCTAAAAACGTCCCTTCTCCCATATTATACTATATACCCGATTTTGCTAAGATTGTCTCAAGTCCCTATGCAACAGCTGCTGCAACATGTACAGTACATGCTGTTAAGGCATAAGCGGTTGCAAACATGAAATACGCTGATGGCACTGTTGTTTTTCTGTCAAATAAATTATGTTGAACACTGTATAATGCTTTACCTTTGAAAGACGGGTCATATAACAAAGGAATTACCAGCGGTTCTGTTGAAGCAACACTCATCGTCAATCCGACAATCGTGGACGGTGGAGAGAATCATGGAAATGTTTTCTGCATCTCGAACCCGATTAGAACGAATTTATAGTGACAGTGATGACTAACTTTAATTGTAGCATACTGTTCTGTTCTGACATAATTTTAGTAGAGAAAAAATATCTTGATTAAAAAAATAGTCAACGTCCAAAGAAAAAAGAATTTTGGGGATCGGAATACATTATTATTCAGAATGTTCAGTGTTTGTTTCCAGGCGCGTAGCTGCCTTTTCCCAAATACGCAAGTGCGTACACAGCATTTTCAGAAAGAAAAAAAAAGATAAGAAAAAAGAGAGAATTATTCGGAGAAAGAAATCTCATTACCATCCAAAAAATATTCTTGTTTCAAATTATTCTGTGTCATACTGTGTCGATTTAAATTTTGAATTATCATGGCTGTATGATAGAATTTGAAATCTTTTATTTAATAACTGACAAATCCAAATAAATCATTCATTATTTTGTCATTGTTCTATCATACATTGATATTTTTTTTAAAGATCTTTGAAAAAATAAATTTCAGCCACATCGTTGAATGCTATGATCTACTAGTATGATTTACAATACGATATTTTTTTGTTCATAATTAAAATTTTGTATAGTACGTGTTTTTAAACGTTAAGAATGATTATATGATACCAATTATATGTACAATAAGTTTCCATGGAATATTAATTTTCGTTAAAACAATAAATATTACTATGTCTTTTATTTCCTAAACAAAAACTAAATGGCATAATTTTTATATTTCAAGAAAATGAATGAAATATTTGGTAAAACTCTGGAGCTTCTGGGCGCTCACCAGCAGGCACGTAGTATCATGGGAGCTTCCCCACTATTTATTCCCAAAACCTAACCTTTTACTATTGAAAAAATGTACATTGAAAGGGTGGACCCCCACTGTTTGTTGCACCATTGTTAAATCATGGTATTTTGGTAATGTATTAATAAAAATTTGGTTTGTGAAAGATGAACCCCCCCCCCCCTTCAACAAACACACACACACAAGAAATAGGACTTCGAATTTTGACAATCTTCCTTTTTCGTCCTTGCTTGACAAAATTTTTAAAGTTGTAATTTTTTCCTGGCTGGCAAAAGCTATATTACGTTCCTGATCAGAGCCCTTAAACACTGGAGGGGGGGGGGGGCTCAAGACCCCACCCCACCCCACCTAACCCCCTGCCGTTCTCTGCGTACACATAATTTCTATTCTGGCTACGCGCCTGGTTTCTAAGTCTTGTTCGTGGATGAAAATTAATGGATTACCCAAGTTTCACACTTACTATGTACCTACTCATAAATTAAATAATTGGTGTATCCCGGTGATACCAATCCATCCCATGTTAAATTAAAATTTCAGTTCATGTTTTCGCACCAAGATTCTGTAAAATACCACTTCCTTTCCGGCATAATTTTTCCATTAAGTACTAGATTTTTCTATATGTATACTTAAAAAAGCGGGCTTCATATTTTAGCGGCTTTGGCGCAGAAAACGATGCGCTAATTCATGAATACCGCTAAAAAAATCATTTAAATATACAACACACGGCACGGTTGTCGGCTGCTGTCCCGCCTGAAATACCATGCTGCAAAGGGGACGGTTTCCCAGCAAGGGCTCATTATGTAGAAGAAAATTGAAAGTGTGATGTTTTTTGGCAAATGATAGTTTAGAAAAAGTAATTTATGAGTTGACTTTGATGTATCGTTTCAGAAAGTTGAGCAAAAATGTACTGACCTGATGAATGTTTCGTCTTTGCAACAGACTAGTTAGTGCTGATGATTGTAACCCATGGGCACTGAGCAGGTTAGTCCGAAATATCTGACGTTTTCCAGGCTTTTTTCACGATTTTGATATTTTACGTGCCAGGAAAACAGTCTTCCTGGCACGTAAAATATCAAAATCGTGAAAAAAGCCTGGAAAATGTCAGATATTCTTTGCAACAGACTAGTTAGTGCTGATGATTGTAACCCATGGGCACTGAGCAGGTTAGTCCGAAATATCTGACGTTTTCCAGGCTTTTTTCACGATTTTGATATTTTACGTGCCAGGAAAACAGTCTTCCTGGCACGTAAAATATCAAAATCGTGAAAAAAGCCTGGAAAATGTCAGATATTTCGGACTATGAGCAGGTATGCCCAAAGTCCTGCAGAAAAGGTAAGGCACTTTGATGTCTTAGATGTGAGTGATGAGAATGTAAGTCCTGTCCCAGCACAGGCTAGTGCTAGTGACCAGATGCACACCAGCACATAATAAGTACCAGGAAAGGAAAGCGATGATATCAGATGGCAGGTTGTCAGCTGCTGTGCAAGTTGTACTTACCGGATTGTATCTGCCTGAAATACTGTGGTTTCATCAATATTCGTTGAGCACCAATTTTCGAGGATTTCGTTGTTGGGCAGATCCACGAAATTAAATGTTCATTGATTTACGAAATATGCTATTCATTTGTATAGGCAATGCTTTTGTCCACGAAATTACGTATCCTCGAAAACGTCTGTTTTACAAAATACACGAAAATTGATCATGATGCCAACGAAAATTGATGAAACCACAGTACTATGCTGCAAAGAGGACAGGATTTCCCAGCATAGGCTTGTGCTTGTGACCCACAAGCACTGAACAGATACCAGGAAACCAAGAGTCCTGAACTGAGAATGAGGTGAGGCACTTTTGCTTTGCATGACGTATGTGATGAGAATGAAAGTCCTTTCCCAGCACAGGCTAGTGCTAGTGACCAGATGTACACCAGCACTTAACAAGTACGAGGGAAGGTTGAGGAATGTAATCCTTGAATGGCAGGAGCTTGCAGTGCACAGGTTTGGGTGAGTGATTATACTGCACTCCCATCTCAGCACAGGCTAGTGCTAGTGCATGACAGAGACTAGCACAGAACATGAACCGAGATGATTGTTCAGCATTGTAGTGCTGTGATCCTGTCTTCTTCTGTTTGTTGTGAGGAACTGTGTCAATGTGGAAGGTGAAATTGCCTTTTATAACTCTTGAGCGCTGTCATCTGCTGAACTGTGATGACCGGAGAGTAAAAGATTGGGATGACACTGAGAATGAACAACAGTTAGGTAATGACTTAATGAGTCCAAGCCAATACACTTGAGAGGTAATTAGTTGAAGTGGCAGAGAGGCTATACACCTGTGCAGTGAAGTTAGTGGAGTGTGACTGTTTGCAGTCCAAGCTCATCATGTAGAAGAAAATTGAAAGTGTGATGTTTATTGGCAATTGATAGTGTAGAAAAAGTAATTGATGTTGACTTTGATGTACGGTTTCAGTATGTTGAGGAAAAAGTACTGACCTGATTGTTTCGTCTTTGTAGGGCAGCTGGCAGGACGTGGTTTTCCCAGCACAGACTAGTGCTGATGATTGTAACCCAAGAGCACTTAGCAGGTACCAGGAAGCCCAAAGTCCTGCAGAGAAGGTAAGGCACTTTGATGTCTTAGATGTGAGTGATGAGAATGTAAGTCTTGTCCCAGCACAGGCTAGTGCTAGTGATCAGATGCACACCAGCACATAGTAAGTACCAGGAAAGGAAAGCGAAGGTATCAGATGGCAAGTTGTCAGCTGCTGTGCAAGTTGTACTTACCGGATTGTATCTGCCTGAAATACCATGCTGCAAAGAGGACAGGGTTTCCCAGCACGGGCTAGTGCTTGTGCTTGTGACACACGAGCACTGAACAGGTACCAGGAAACCAAGAGTCCTGAACTGAGAATGAGGTGAGGCACTTTTGCTATGCATGACGTGTGTGATGAGAATGAAAGTCCTTTCCCAGCACAGGCTAGTGCTAGTGACCAGATGTACACCAGCACTTAACAAGTACGAGGGAAGGTTGAGGAATGTAATCCTTGAATGGCAGGAGCTTGCAGTGCACAGGTTTGGGTGAGTGATTATACTGCACTCCCATCTCAGCACAGGCTAGTGCTAGTGCATGACAGAGATCGACTAGCACAGAACATGAACCGAGATGATTGTTCAGCATTGTAGTGCTGTGATCCTGTCTTCTTCTGTTTGTTGTGAGGAACTGTGTCAATGTGGAAGGTGAAATTGCCTTTTATAACTCTTGAGCGCTGTCATCTGCTGAACTGTGATGACCGGAGAGTAAAAGATTGGGATGACACTGAGAATGAACAACAGTTAGGTAATGACTTAATGAGTCCAAGCCAATACACTTGAGAGGTAATTAGTTGAAGTGGCAGAGAGGCTATACACCTGTGCAGTGAAGTTAGTGGAGTGTGACTGTTTGCAGTCCAAGCTCATCATGTAGAAGAAAATTGAAAGTGTGATGTTTATTGGCAATTGATAGTGTAGAAAAAGTAATTGATGTTGACTTTGATGTACGGTTTCAGTATGTTGAGGAAAAAGTACTGACCTGATTGTTTCGTCTTTGTAGGGCAGCTGGCAGGACGTGGTTTTCCCAGCACAGACTAGTGCTGATGATTGTAACCCAAGAGCACTTAGCAGGTACCAGGAAGCCCAAAGTCCTGCAGAGAAGGTAAGGCACTTTGATGTCTTAGATGTGAGTGATGAGAATGTAAGTCCTGTCCCAGCACAGGCTAGTGCTAGTGATCAGATGCACACCAGCACATAGTAAGTACCAGGAAAGGAAAGCGAAGGTATCAGATGGCAAGTTGTCAGCTGCTGTGCAAGTTGTACTTACCGGATTGTATCTGCCTGAAATACCATGCTGCAAAGAGGACAGGGTTTCCCAGCACGGGCTAGTGCTTGTGCTTGTGACACACGAGCACTGAACAGGTACCAGGAAACCAAGAGTCCTGAACTGAGAATGAGGTGAGGCACTTTTGCTATGCATGACGTGTGTGATGAGAATGAAAGTCCTTTCCCAGCACAGGCTAGTGCTAGTGACCAGATGTACACCAGCACTTAACAAGTACGAGGGAAGGTTGAGGAATGTAATCCTTGAATGGCAGGAGCTTGCAGTGCACAGGTTTGGGTGAGTGATTATACTGCAC